ATTCGTCATCAAATCTGATCATATACGTACCGCCCCCCCCCCATCTGCAATCATGATATAAATCTGACTTCCGGTCTCAAATCTGAAAAATAAAATTATCGATACCCTAACCAATTGACCAACCGACTGAACCACCCCGGGGAACCACCTACCCATCGATTGACTAATCAAGCAAACTACAAAACATCCAAGCAGAGACATATAAAACAAGCAACCAACTTTCAAAGGAAGCGACCAACTTTGCAATCACCAGTCAACAGAACGCAAGAAACTGACCAAGCAAAAACAAAGCAAGCAACCAAGCAAGTGTGCAACCATATATGCAACAAACAAAGCGAGGAACCAAGCAAGCAGCTAATTAAGTAACTATACATGGAAATACATGGAAATACACGTAAGAAAGCAAAAGAACAACAAAAAAATCCAAGTTGAGGCTGATATGGACATCAACTGCACACATTTGATTAATTTAATGCAAATTCCAAGTTCAAAATGAAGCACAAAGGTTGACATTTGAGAACATAACTGATACCAAAAGGACGCGTGAAGACAAAGCTACATTTTCTAATTCTAGATGCTCTTACTGGGTAATACTTTTCAGGGTTACTTAAAGAGAGAATCAGATCTACCGAGCAAGCCAAAACGTTTCAATATGTCTGGCTTACCTGTATATCACTCATTGCCATGTCTAAAAATCTCCAAAGTATCTTTATATGCAATACATAATATACCCTACAACCAAGCTCCGCATTCTAGCACTCGGATAGTTGGTTGATTGACAATATTGACTTACACGATATGTAATGGCTTAACTGAAGTGACGATCAACTCCCCTATCCCCGGGCCCCTATCCCAGGTGCCCCAAATGTACTAGATCCATGGGCATTCGATAGATATTATTGAAAGTCCATGCTAGATCTTAAATACACATTTTTTGGTAAATTAGATCCACTTGCTTCCCACATCAGATTTCTATTAATCACTCATTTCTTGAAACGGTCCTATTTCAATTCTTTCCGGCCTAGGGAAAACCTTTTAAGATGAATATATGTAACTGTTGGTATTTTGCTCTTACACATATCAATTTTAAATTCAAGGTACAGAAAAACCAGTCGACGTTTTTTCGAAAAGGTAGAACTGTATATCCAAAACCCGGATCTAAAACAATATCTTATTGTTATTAATTTATTGTCCAGTTCTACCTTTGATATTAATGCCAAATTCTGTTGTTTGTTAGCAACATGATGAGGATTGATTTCTATATGGCAGGTTACTTTGATTTTAAAGGCCTATGGTAATATTTTTACATCAAATTTTAGTTGTTTATCTGTGAAATCTAAAATGAGGAATTAAAAATAGTACTTCATAAAACCTAATGCATAGACTGCAATCAAGGCCCGGAATCGAGGTCCCTTGAATATCATACATGTACCAGTGAAAGACCAAAAATGCAATCAAACAAGTATATACTAGTATTGTGTGGTTAAGATCAATGATCAAGGAAACCCATTCGTGGGATTCATACTTATTGTTGATTTTTTTGTTTACAAGAAAAGGTTTCGTACGCGTATTGATATTGTCCTTCGTAATAAAACCCATATTGAGTCCCTACCAGTAAATAATCACTATATGTACATTTGCAAAATATGGCCGCCATAGAATATTTGGGAGTCTAGGCAAGATACATGTACCAATTGTCCCATCCTTTCATCATCAATCCCTTAATCGATTTATAATAGTGAGCTTAAACCGGATTAAACAATCTCCCTCAAACTTATACAAATCCTGACTTAGAGTACGTAAAGGATTGGTACACTCTGTCTGCATATCGTTTGTATCCTGGTGTCAGGATGCATACATGATTCGCGCACAGCGAGCCTATCCTGTGTGAATCTTGACTCAGAATACGTACAGGATTAGCACACTGTGCATATCCTGTATGAATCTAGGCATCAGGATTCATACAGGATAGACACACTGCAAGTGTATCCTGTATGAATCCAGGAGGCAGGATTCATACTGGATTCCTACACGCGCAAATCCTGTATAAATCCTGATACAGGATATGTTCAGGATATGCACACAGTGTGTCAATCCTGTATGTATCCAGGTGTCAGGATTCATACAGGTTTCGCTCCAACGAGCATATCCTGTATGAATCTTGACTCAGGATACGTACAGGATTGGCACACTGCGTGCATATCCTGTATGAATCCAGGCGTCAGGATTCATACAGGATTGGCACACTGCGAGCGTTTCCTGTGTGAATCTTGACTCAGGATACGTACAGGATTGGCACACTATGTGCATATCTTGTATGAATCCAGGTGTCAGGATTTATACAGGTTTGGCACACTGCGAGCGTATCCTGTATAAATCTTGACTCAGGATACGTACAGGATTGGCACACCGTGTGCATATCTTGTATGAATCCAGGCGTCAGGATTTATACCGGTTTGGCACACTGCGTGCATATCCTGTATGAATCCTGATGTCAGGATTCATTGTATTCATACGCATTTTTTGCTGTGTAAGCAACCAGACACAACCCAACTACAAGCCAACAACACAATACGACACAACCCAATACTACAACCTTATTTTAACCTCCGAAAACACAACCAATTGTCAAATATACACAACACAATTTGGCACAACCAAATAATAAAACAACAAAACCAAAACACAACCCATTATTGACGAAGAACAACACAATTTTACACAAAACAATCAAAAACACAATCAGGCACAACCAAACTGGAATACCAAAACACCCAACCAACACTCTCTGAAAACAACACCAATCAGGCAACACAATCTGACACAACCACATACTTCATCCTACTGGGCACAACCCGCTACCGACCAGCACAACTGATGGTACTTTTTTATTGACTGATGCTCATATTATTTTATGTGTATGATATACGTAAACGATCATAACTGGATGTACCAACCTTGGGGAAGGTACACTCTGTATGATTTAAAACTCACTGGACATTTTAGGTAATTATTCTGAATAACCAACCTTGGGGAAAGTTTATTCTTCGTATTCATGTATAACTGTTTTAATCTGATATATTTTGTACGAACGTCAACGCGGTAGCCTGACGTTGGCAATTTATATGGATTAGAATTTGTTTTGTGCTTGTTTGTTTGATTGTTTGTACATATTGATCTTTTATAATTGGATGAATGTATCTCCTTTTTATAAAGGGCAATAAATATATATACACACAACACAATTACAACATAACACAACCACTTTGAAATTAACATAACTTAATGAGACACAACCCGATACCAAACTTATACAACACAACCAGGCTCAACCAGACAAACAACCACCAAAACACAATCGACTATCAAACTAACACAATGGAGCACAACCAAACAACAAACCAACACAATACAACATAGCCAACGAGACCAAATTCAAATCAACCCATTTTTGAATCATCACAACACAACCTGACACCAACCACCGTAACAGAGTCAGTCACAACCCAATACTGAATCAATTAAACTACACTATTAAATACAATCAGGCACAATCTACAAACACAACCAAACTATGATACCAATTTACTTAGTACCCAACTAATTGTATAATTGTCTCCAACTGGAGACAATCCCAAAACAAAACCAAATCGGGGACAACCCATCCCCCCTCCCCCTCATTGGGCTGCTGATGAAGAACATATCATGGACCACCAACCATGAGTTTGAAACATCTTGGGCCCTTACTGTGACTCACAAGTAAGGGAGAAGATCCACTACTGGTTCGGGATGTCCGGCCTTTCTCTACAAAAATGACAAAAGGAGTGACACCACCAATGTCATCATCCTAGGATCAACTAAATATACTCTACCTGTCACATAATCACTGACGGTGGTTCGGGGAAGCTTAGACACTAGACTATGTCTCCCAGGTCCCCCAAACGAGACCGCTCACCATTTAACACAGATTGCATGACTTGTGCGTGTTCACAACGGGTGATGTCTCAAGACATGGTCTAAGTCACCACTCAAAAAAAAATGCAGAGCAATGGACATAAAATGTGTTGTGTTTTGTGGATGTAGTAAAGGCACAAAGTGTAGAAATCCGCATAGATAAACTCAATTGATAGCCACACATAACATGAAAACTAGTGATAACTAGTTGTAGATACTAGTACTCATTAAAGAATGAACACAAGGAGCACATGTGTCTCAAACTCACAACCTCGTGGTTTATAATTAAACTCAATCGATATTCAATACTCATAATACATCAGCATTCCTTGTAGATACTAGATATGGTACTCATAAAAGAATGAACATACGGAGCACACGTGTCTCAAACTCGCAACCTCGTGGTTTAGGGTCCCCATTCACCTAAGACCTCTTGGCCAACTCAACAAACAAAAAAGTTTGTTTCCTTCGCTGATCTGACTAGATAGAGGCTGTGGATTCAGTCTTAAATGATGCAGGATAGATGAAAACTGTTGTGCGTAACATGCTAAAATCAGTTTTTGGCAAATATCTTGAGAACCATTGACTTTTTTAAATACATATGAATCATTGACCCCCTATAATGTGGCCATTCCGGACATTTTGAGTGGTCACACAACCTTCTATGTCCAACGGTTCCGGAGATACAAAAATGGGGGGGGGAGTATTCACATCGGGCGTGGCCATTTGACCTATTTCGCCTTCAATGGCAAATACGTTACCAAGCCAAAATTGATCAATGACCTTCACATAGATGATTTCTGAAGAGAAAATCTCTGGACATAGAAGTGCATACTCAACCAGCATGAGCTACTAGAGCAATTGGCCTTGGTGCAATTTTTTTTTAGTTTTAAGACCCCAGTAGGTGTTTAAGCCGATCTAAAGAATACAAAAAGCATTTGATTGAAGTAACGTGTATTAGCTGTGTTTTTGACAGCTTCTAAAGATGGAGCATCTTACAAGCATAATATGTTATATTATTCTCATAGCCTTTAGAGGGAACTTACCTTTGCAGGTTGATTTAGAACGCCGATGTTGTAGCCGATGATGAATGATGATCCAAAGCAAATGATGAATGCAGTGAACACCAACTTGATGTTGAGACCCTGGAAGACCCAAATTTACCCGATGAAGACATATAAATACATTGATAAGTCGTACTTTGTCTGTTTTTAAAACTTATCAACATAGAACATCGTACTGTATATGGGCCAATTTACGATAATTGATATTTTAAAAATCTGTTGTTGTACTAGAGACTGCGACATATATGTTGATTACATGGACAAGGTTTATATTTTTGTTGACAAGACTTTATAATTAAGCAATCATTACCACAAGGTATCTGTTTGGAATATTGCTTATCTTTTTAAAAATATCACTTTAAAGAGAGATTCAGATATTGCGAGCTGCCTAACAAAAAATTGTTTCAATTTTAGAATATATCTTGCTTATGTCATTCCTTTTCATGTCCATTTTCTAAAAATCCCCAAAAATGCGCCCTTTAATTCAGGGAAACTAAAGATTTTTACAACAATGTAGTATTTTTCTATAAGAATGGTTACCATTCTTATTATTTAGGACAATTTAAACATTTTTACCCATTTTTTCACTTATGAATCCATTATAACTTCACCAATCTATAACATATTGTGAATCTTTAGGGTTATATTGTATTTTAGATTGTAAGGAATAGACTGGTCAACCAATTATTTCACCCCCATAGATCTAATTCTGCCTTTAATGATGGAATTTTAGACAATGAAGAGATATTTTATTTTTTGGACAAATATAAATTCGGATTTCTTAACCTAAAATGTAACGATTGCGTTGATATTTTTGAGCATGTTAATAAAATGTATGTGCTACCAACTCTTGAAAGCGGGATGTTTGACATGTCTTAGTCACATAATTTAGTATGTTTTACTATATGTATACGATTTGTCAAATATTTGTATCCTCCAACACATCGGCCATATTAATATACACCATTGATGCATTATTTGGTGAAAGCTATGCCACAAGATGCATTTTGATAACATATCTTAAATTGCAGACAATGGAGATATTTGATTGAGTGTAGGCATTTCTGTCGTGAACTCAAATTTAGGCTGTCCAATATTTTGTATCCTCCAAACATTAAAATATCTTTGGTAAAAAAATATTTCGAGAATTTTATTTTAAGAAATGAAAGTACTTAATAGAAGCGTTTAGATCATCATTATTTGATTTTTGAATTATTTCAATTGTCTTTGTAAAACTTTATTTAGCATGTGTTGGAGGATACAGAATTACTTTAAAATTAAGTAAATATAAAATTACAATCAAAAGTTAGTTGCATTCCTATTTTTATGTTTATATTTAAATTACAGCAAAGTATGAGTCATTGCCAAACCAGGAAACAATATATTTCACTCTCAGTGTCACATATGATCATGTTATAACTTTGTGGGAATAGCGATGCACTCAACCTCTACATTTCTATTCAACATGATATGCCTTCTTTTTATTTGATTTGAATGATGTTTCTCATTGCCCACGCTGTGTGTTTTTTCATGATATTAGAGAGGTTTCGCGAAACGGGTTAGCTAAAACGTATCCGCATTAGTATCCCGTTACGTTTACGGAAACGTTTTTCGATAATTTTCCTTTCGTAGTTCGTTTTTTGAAGTATGTAACCATAAATGCATCTCAATCCGTGTTTAATAGCAGTGAAAACTAGGGTCAAATAAGATAATTAATTTTGGTTTCAATACACCATTGAGAGTGTCAGCTTTCAGTATCATTGGTGAATGCAAAAATACATATTAACCCTTTCATCCCCAAGGGTCATTTATGAATTTCATGAAATCAATTTCAAAATGGAGAATATCCCTTAGGCCAGAAAAGGTAATATTTTTAGGTTTACAATAACCAATTCATTGTCAAACTATACTTTGGGGAATATTTAAGGGTTTGAACACATAAAGGCTGATATAGTGGTCATTAAGTGAAGTGCAGTGACTGCATTATGCTATAAAATGCCTAAACATTTCTGTTTTCGGTAGAAATGATATTTGATATTTGAAATTAGTGTGTACATTTGCGTTTACTTATTTTTTCCCGAGACTATTAAAAGTGCAGCAAGTGCGTTTTGACTTAACATGAAAGCATGCACGCTTGACGCAACATCTTCATATCCCTTTTGACCTCATTATCTTTTTAAGTATGGCCTTATAAGTATACTTATCAATGCTATAATTAGTTCCGAAAGAGCACACACAATCTAAATAAATGGTATAAGTGATTCATTATGTCATATCAAGCTTGAGTGAAATCCATCCAGCCAAATATTTGAACTCTATTGCAACACCTATTTACTCATATCATAGCATATAGGCATTCGTAGCCTTGCCCGAGTCGATCTCTTATCTTGATTTCTATCCCATGGTAAAAGATAAAAAAATCACTTGCCATACTGCACATGGACCTTTAATTTCATGTTTTTGCAGCTGTATATTTTGGTTATACTTTAAGATCAAATAAGTAAAAAATACCGACTTGGTGAAAGCAAAGTAACATATTTGATCATAGAAAGTGACACAAATATATTATTTATGCAATAAAAGTACACCTCCCCTGTTTTGTATGAAAAATCAACAAAAATATATAATGTCAAAAGATAAATTAGCATTGTTTTTCTTGGATTCATTGAACAACAGGAGACCCCTCATCAGAGAATCAGAGAACGACTCAAAGCTAACGCCAATCATACCAGTTGAATATCTCACACAAGAGATTGTATTATATATGAATACATGTAGGTACCATACCTATACCATACTAATAATGTGTACAAACATATCATTATACTCTTTGATTCTACCCTGAATATACCAATCAACTGATATACCAACAACATAATACCTTAAACCGGCCATTTCTTAACCCAATAAGACACCACAACCCCATCGACACAGCCCGTAGCACGACATATATAACCTATTACAACCAAACGCAACCTGGGTCACCAATCATTCAACAGTACAATAGAACATAACCAAGTGACAACATACACGGAACGCAACAGAGCATAACCTAGCACCAAAGCCAGCATAGCGCAACCTGCATTTCAACACCAAAACACAACCAACTGTCAAAAAATATGTCACAACCTAATGATAAAACAACAAAGTCAAACACAACCAATTGTTGAGCTAACTCAACACAATTGTGCACAACCCAACACTAAACAATTAAAACACAATCGGGCACAGCAAATGAAACACAACTAAAATAACAATCGCGAAAACACAACGAACTGTGAAATTATCACCACACAATTTGGCACAACCCAATGATAAACCAACTAAAGAAAACACAACCCATTGTTCAAGTAACACAACACAATTTTCCAAAACCAAAAACAAAACAATCAAAACAAAATCAGGCACAAGCAATAAAACACAATCAAATTGCAATACCAATATACACAACTCCAATTGGAGGCAACGCCAATCACACAACACAATCAGACACAACCACATACCTGATTAGCTACAACCAGCTACTCAACCAACATAACATATTCAAAAGAGAACACAACCCATTATAAAATTAGCATAACACAATGGGGCACAACCCGATACTAAATCACCAGACTAACAACCATCAAAAGACAACCGACTCTCAAACTGATACAATAAAAATCGGCAATATCTACCTGACAGTAACCCACCATTACACAACCAGGCTCAACTAAATACTAAACGATCTAATCAACCCATCAAAACACAACCAATAAACCACAGCGAAACGTTGATACCGATCCCGGGATACCGATATACTCAACTAACAACTGGAGACAACCGCAAAACACTATAGGGGACAAAGCCGATATCTACTTGAATTGCAACCACGACCCCTTTCCCTATCATCACAAGGCTGTTGATGAAGAGAGCATAACATGGACCACCACCCAAGAGTTAGATACATCTAGGGCCCCTACCATGACTTATATGTAAGGGAGAAAGTCCGTTTCGGGATCGGGATGTCAGCCCTTTCTTAAAAAAATGAAAACAGGAAATGACACGCCATTATCATCATCCTATGATCAATTAAGTACTCCCTGTCACATAATCACTGACGGTGGTTCGGGGAAGCTTGGGCACTAATCTTTAGGGCACTGGTCTTCCTGTCCCCCAAACGAGGCTGCTTACTATTTGACACAGATCGCATGACTTGATGCGTGTTCAAGTCATACCAGGGGAAGAAGCTCCCTGGTTCGAAATTTTATGATCATCCTGAGCACTTTTCGTGAGTTCTTTTAGCCAAAATTGACAAAAAGCTCTCCCTTGGCAAAAACAGGATAGGGGACACGTTCGGCACCTTTAGACCCAATATCACATTCATAGTTGAAGTCAGGACCAAGCTGCCATACTCAAACAAGTCCAAACCCTGCTATATGAATTAAGAGCGTGACTTATTAGGCACAAAGTATAAAATCGGGTGACCTAGTTGCTAACCACTGGTTTGATGTCCATAAGAAATTGACTACGATATTACTATTGATCTTAGAAATTATAGACCGTACGGCTGCCTACCAACAAATATGACTAAAGCTTTATTTGTAAAAATTGCAGGCCACCCACTAATAATCTTTATCGACAGATAAGCCTATTACTTCATCAAAATTGGCACGACATACATGATTACATATTTGGATTACTAAAATTATACATTTAGGGAAAGGGAAAAATCTAAAAATTTAACACATCGTCAATTTAATGGTCATCTTTTGAATGGTAACAATATAATTTTTAGCTTATACAAGATAGGATATATTACATTATAAATACTATATAGAGATTTACATGAATGGCGTTGAAAAATATGAATTAAATATATTATTAATGATTTAAAACATAGCAAATTCACTTTTGTTGTTATAATTTTCATTTAATTTCCAATTTGATTTTGTACTTTGTAAAAATACTTCAAAATATTTGGGATTTTAGACCCTTGCCATACACGCACATTTTCCAGGAACACGAGAGCCTAATTTCAAAAATAATTGTATGTCAATACTGGCGACGTAACAGCCTTTCATTTCAACCACACTAGGATTCAATTTAAGCTTATCACGGCGTTATAGCATGACGGTTACGCCACCTTTGAAAACGAGGTTGGACGGCTACGTTCACTGATTTATCCAATAAAATTGCCGCGATGAAGTGAAAACTAAGGTTGGTGCATTATTTTCTTCTACTGTGAATCAATGAAAGGATGAACGATTTAAATGTAAGGGTCGCATTCGGTGATGCATTCAGTAATGTATATTTTGAACCTAGTCTTTGCAAATTGATGCCCGGGGATAACATGAAATAAGAGAAAAACTGTCGAGTTTGAAATTCAAAACTACACAAAATATAGGAATTTGTTTATTTTTGTTGATAGGGCATTGTCTAAATTGCCTAAAAACCTTGGGGTATATAGATGTAACCTACATACGATCACACAAAGCCAATTGAGCATTAGAAACCACCTAACCCTACTATCACACCAAACTAGTTCTCACTACGTTCTCGAAAACGGGCTTCAACTGTTTAGGAACGGACTGGACCTACTAAGAACCGTTTGGGACCTATTTACAAACTTCATCGAACGTACTCGAACGGGTAGGTCCTCTAGAACTGAAACAAAAATGTTCTCGTGGTCGTCACGTTCTACAATTAGAACGAGTGACAACGTACTAACGACGAGCTGGACGTACTTCGAACGGAACCGTCCTACTTCAATCCTACTAGTGACGTTTTAACAACGAGTTGAACTGTCTGAGGACGTGTTGAGAACGAGGTAGAACTAATTGCAAACGGGTTTAAACTGATTAAGAACGTATTTAACACTGCTTATGAACGAGTTAGCAAAAATATAGCTATCACACCAAACAAGTTGCCACTGCGTTCTTCAAAACTGGTTTTAAACTGTGTGCGAACGGAATGAACGTAGCTGCAACTTTCTAAGGTCTATTTACGAACTTTATGAACGTTGTCAGACGGGAATGTGATTTTAGAATTTTGAATCGATTCAAAATCGATGGGGACCATACCGTTCTGTAATCAGGTCATGTTGACCTTCTAGACTAAGGGACGCGTTCTACGACGTTGCACACCGACGTGGTGCGACCTGAACGAACTGCGAACGAGATGGACGTATTGAAGACTGTTTAAGAACGAATAAGCTAATTATTTCAGACATATTTCCCGACCACAGCCAGATTGAGCCCGTTTTACGACGTTTTCGTAGGACTGGCAAGAACGGGTAAGAACTAGTTTGGTGTGATAGGGGAGTAATATGTTCTACTCAAGCCAAAATAATGTATTTTGAATTTGCGGTAACGTGAAAAATTGATGGACGGTTACGCGAACCTGATTCAAAAATGAAACCCGGATTCATTGTCATTAATTTTGTCATCTTCATCAGTACTTAATCCTTAATCTTCTTTTGCCTCTTCATTGCTATCTTTTACACTTTCATTGGTTTCATAAATAAAGCGAACGACAGTTTTGTTCCTTGCCCTATAGAGGCTGATACAAGAGCGTTTCTTGCGAGTCAATATTCAATATTCTATTTCTTACCCATTATAACAATAACAAGTACTACGGCCAAAGCGATTTGTGTCCAAAACACCTAGATTCAATTTGACTTTAGATTCTTGTAGGGGACCCCAAGGCATGTAAAAAAAGTTTGTGAACCCTTGCAAAGCAGGCTCAAAAGTGCTGAGTCAGCAAATTTTATTATTTTTGAGTCTGAATTTGACCATATGCTTGAAACTATTAATATCTCATTTCAGGATGTTGCAATTATATGAAACATTGTCAATATATCAATAAGGCATGTATGAAGAATTCCTGAAAGTTTCGGTCTTAACCAACAAAATTTGGTTGAGATATGGGATAATTTGTCCCTAAAAGTACATAATTTCTCTTCAAAATTTCTTAATCAGTCGATAGTTAATCAGTCGTTTAAAAAACAGTAGGGGCCTATGGTGTATAAAACCTAATTTAAAACTTCACTGATGATGTTAGCAAATATTTCTTGAATAAGTTTCAATAAAAAGTGCAAGTATCTATTTTTCTGATTTTTCTCTTTACCTTCCCCTAAAAATTCAAGAAAGGGGACGTGGCACATAACACTTCAGTTGTTGAACTTGTTGCTAGGGTCAAATAGAAAATGTGCATCATTATAGCAAAAAGTGTTATTCTAAATAAATCTTAACACTATATGTGACATCATTATATGCTAAACATATTCATTATCTACCATTTTATATTTTTACACCTTATCATTGCCATACCCCATAAAACCGTTTAGGGTATGTGTGGTCAGCAATAGTGACTATAAGTGACTCAGAAAATCAAACGGATACTGTATTGATTCACGACTCTACAGCAAAACGCATCGACAAAAGACTCATACTGAAGGGTAAAACCATCAGCAAAACAATTGCGTACACATTGGATGAAGCAATTGACAAGCTAAAGAACTCTGAAGTACACAAAGATAACTATATAATAGCCATTGGCACTAACCATCTGGCTGACAACCAAAGTGTACAATCGACAGTGGGGAAATATAATGACTTGATACACACAATACAATTGAAAGACCCACATGCCAATATATATGCCTGCAGTGTTCTACCCCGATATGATCATGTCAGCAATGATGACATCACAGCCCTAAATTATGCTATACAAAATATGTGCAATCTAGTAGACAAGTTGTCATATATTGACACATACACAAGTTTTATAAAGTCCTCCCCTGGAATATATGTACAAGAACATGGCTCCCACCCCACCAAATCGGGATGGATAAAACTAGCCATGGTTATACGCCACTATGTCCAGCCCAGCAACAGGGAATTTGATGACCGCAGAGTGAACTCGACAAGACCTAGGCCACGCCCACAGCGGCCTCAACGCCCACAGCCCAAGCATGAATTTCCAAACAATGCCAATCCCCAAGTCATGCAAGACTCCATGACAGCAACCCAAAGTGCCATTATAAATGGGGAGCAATCTCAGCCCAAACACCAACAGGATAAATCTGATAAATCACAGGATACATCACAGCCATCTAATTATGTGAATGGGGATTATACTAATCAACGGCCATTAGTGCAACAAAATGGTGCCAGTGAAATGCAGAATGTACCCAATATGAATATCCCCTATATCAATAACTGGCAACAACCAACTCAGCATTACTATGTACAAAACCCATTCTTGCAAAATATGCAACATTTACCTATGGCAGCCAATACCCAACTACCCCAACTATATCCTACTCAAGGAGCACAAGTAACCCCAGTACAGGGAGTACATAATTACCCAGTTCAGAGAGTACAAGGGTACTTGGCTCAGGAGCCACACATCTGGAAACCCAACATTCAAGTCACAACTAATTAGTATATGTATATAAAATACAAAAGTTACAGTTAGAGGTACTATATATTGCTACTGATTTATCTATGCACTAAGTACATGTACTTTGATTGAACAATTTTTGGAAACAAGTGCATGTACAATATATTACCTCTGATTTCTCCATGCGCTTAATAGTACATATACTTTGTAGTGCACAAAACAGTTAATTCAGCTCACCCTAATAGGAAAATTCGAACCATCAATGGCTGTATTTTCTTATTAGAAGTTGGTTATCAACCTATTTGTAATGATAACATATAATTCTTAATAGTCCCATGTCTATATGTAAATATGTATGTTTGTAAGATCTTCTGCTGAAGATATCTCTCCTGTTAACATTTTGTACATTGTACTTCTAGTAGGCCTATTACTCCATCTTGCCATCAATTTGAAATCTATTAGAAACACAATTGACAATGACAAATAAGAGTCTTAAATTCCCAAAAGTTCATTGCAAAGCATCTTTAAAGATAGCAGGATGGAATATACAAGGTCTTAGTAGAACAAAAATGGAAGATCCTAGTTTTTATAGCATGATTAAACATCATGATATTGTATTTCTGTGTGAAACATGGTTTTCAAAAGCCATCGATAATCTCAAAGACTTCTCTTGCTATAATATAATACGGGAAAAAGCTAAATCGGCTAAACGAAACTCTGGTGGGATTTCAGTACTGATTAAAGAAAACATTAAATCAGGCATATCTATTGTAGAAAAAACTGAAGAATGTGTATGGTTAAAAATTAAGAAATCTAACTTTAATCTCGTGAATGACATATTTATATGTGGTGTATATTTTCCTCCACAAAACTCTACATATATGATGGATAACAATGCATTTAATCTCTTAGAGAACAGTATAAGAAAATACTCAGACTCTGGACAAATTATTATAATGGGTGACTTCAATGCACGGACTTCAAATCTAAATGATTTTATCGTAGATGACTGTAATAACCACTTACCTATAAATAATGTTCAATATAATGTTGATCTGCCAATTAATCAAAGATTAAATAGAGATACAAAATTGAACTCGTATGGTAAATCCTTAATTCAGCTATGTCATACATGCCAAATAAGAATCTTAAATGGTAGAACACTGGGTGATTACTTGGGTCAATACACATGCTTTAAAGAAAATGGGTGTAGTACAGTAGATTACTGTTTAGCCAGTGAACTCCTATTACAAAATATATCAATCTTCAAAGTATACCCACCTAACCATTTATCTGATCATGCAATGATCAGTACAAGCTTTGAACTCCCAGAAAAAGTCTTAATTCAAACAAAAATCAACTCCAATACCCTTACAAAAAATGATGCAGAATTTCATTGGGGTATTGACTCAAAGGCGTGCTTTATAAGAGCAATTGAAGCCAATAAACATATCATTGATGAATTTAATAATGTACATTTTGAATCCTCCCAAGATGGAGTAGACATGTGCTGTGAAAAAATTACCAATATTTTCAACAAAGCTTCAACAATTGCACTAAAAATAAGGAGTAAAAAGAAAAATCGAGGAAAAATTTGGTTCAATAGAGACTGTGATCTTGCAAAGAAACAAATAATATACCTTGGCAAATTGGTTCAAAAACACCCTAAAGACTCCTATCTAAGGGGTAAATTTTGTCATGACAAGAAACGATACAAACAACTTGTACGTAAAACTCAAAAAATGTTTAAGAAAAACCTACTTGAAAAAATTGAGGCAATGGACAAATCTAACCCTAAAGAATTTTGGAATATTGTTAATAAAATTAGAAATGAAGAGCAGAAAAACAACAAAGCTGATGCTATTGATCCTGAGATATGGCTTAATTATTTTAAAGATCTAAGCAACATGGATATGCAGATAAATGACCACAATACAAATATAGACAAAATTGTTGAGGAAAAACTCAATATAATGTTACATGATCAAAACAAAATTGAAGTTCTTGATGAAAATATCAAAACTTGTGAAATTTTGGAAGTGTGCAAAGAGCTAAAGTTAACTAAATCAGGTGCCACAGATAGAATAAACAATAACATGATCAAGTGTGCTCTACAACATATGACAACTCCCATACTAAGGCTTTTTAACTTAATCATTAATTCAACACATTTTCCTAAAATGTGGTCACGAGGAGATATAGTTTCAATATTTAAATCAGGCAACACATTAGACCCTAAAAACTATAGAGGCCTCACTCTATCCAGCTTGCTAGGAAAAGTATTTACCTCAATAATGAACAATAGATTAAACAAATATCTCACAATGGAAAATGTATTGACTGCCAATCAAATAGGCTTTCAAAAAAACAAAAGATGTACGGATCACATATATGTTCTTAATTTTATTATTAGAAAATTTAAGTCTCAGAAAAAGAAACTGTACACATGTTTTGTGGATCTAAAGAAGTGTTTTGATTCACTCTGGCGAAATGGTATATTCTTTAAAATGTATGAAAGTGGTATTAGCTCTCAATTTATCAGAATAGTGCAAAACATGTATGCATGTACACAGTCACGAGTTAAGTGTGCTGATGCTAATGGTAACAAGGTATTTACAGAATATTTTGAAACCACGGTTGGTACAAGGCAAGGTGACTGTCTCAGTCCCACAATGCTGAATATATTTATAAATGATTTAGAATCATACTTATGTAAGAAAAAATGTAAAGCTATACGATTAGATGATATATCCACAAACTTTCTGGCCTTTGCCGATGATATTGTACTTATGAGTTCATCAGAGTCTGGCCTACAGAACTGCTTAAATGCATTTAGAAAGTATTGTTCTGACTGGAAATTACAGGTTAATCTTAGTAAAACAAAAGTTATGGTCTTTAATACCACTAGTACGAACCATGTATTTTATTTTGGTAATAATAAGATTATTGAAACTAAAAGTTATGTATACCTTGGCATCACCTTTAAGAAAAATGGTTCTTTTGTATCAGCCATGAATTTACTGAATAGTAAGGCAATGAAAGCTCATTTTGCCATTAAACAAAGTTTTTATAGAATGCCAGTAAGGATACAAATGAAGCTTTATGATTCCCTCATAAAACCAATATCATTATATGGCTCAGAGATATGGGGCGCATATGGATTTAATTGGAAATCTAAATCCATAGAAGAAATGTTATTAAATGACAAACTCCCATTTGAACAACTGCATACAAAATTTTGCAAATTCATACTACAAGTTAATTCAAAATGTACAAACATACTAGCTAAATCTGAATTGGGAAGGTATCCCTTATTTATTAATATCTGTATTGGGATCATAAAATATTGGGTACACGCTAGGAAAGCTCCCAAAACTTCACTGATTTCGAAAGTAACAACTCTAGATATTGCCAACAATACCTCGAATTATTATACTGTTGTAAAGGCTATCTGTGACTTCTGTGGAATATCAACTTTTATAGAAGATAAAGATATTTTTGATCAAACAGATGCAAGCATATTAATCAAAACCTTGAAAAACAAATTATTTAATAAATATCAAGAACTTTTCTTTCAAAAAATCAATGTAGCTGAAAATATACCATCTAAAACCAGAGTGTATAGAACAGTAAAGAAAATGTATAAACAAGAGAAATACCTTAATATTAATAATGATTCCCACAGAAAGGCTATAACAAGGACTAGGATCTCATGTCATAACTTTCCTATAGAAATGGGAAGGAGATTCAAAATTGCTAAAGAAAAGCGATATTGCTATTTATGTGACTCCAAAGAAATTGGTGATGAGTACCATGTACTTTTCGAATGCAACTATGAAAAACTTATAAATATACGTAAAGACTTTATTTCTGGTATAAGACAGATTAAAGAACAATTTATACAATTTAATAACAAACAGCTATTTAGTTATCTACTTATGAGCCATGATAATGAACTAATGAATCCATGGGGTGAATTCCTAAACAAAATGAACCTTACTGTTGACACTCATAAAATACTGAGAAATAAAAATGATTTACTGAAATGGTTCCAAAAGAAAGGTGATGCCAAGTAAGCAAGCAATATGATTATCTCATTTATATACTGCTCATAAATATTATTATACCCTTTGTGTCTTTGTATGCATGTTTTTTTGTAAACAACCATATATATTATACCTTTATCTTATGTATGCATGTTCCTTTATTGTAAATTACCAATACTCCAGAAGGAGATACGGAACAATAAAGTACTATCTTATCTTATCTTATCTTATAACATTTTTCAAAATTGCATTTCAGATGCCATCCTTTCCTAATGTTGTTCATGTAGTTATGGTATGTTAAGAATGAATTATGATGATAATATGTTATATTACACTCACCATCATAAGTTTTGTAACTGGAAGTCCCCATTTGAATCACTTATTAAAGCTTGTCATGCTGTTTGGCAATTTTAAACAATACATCAAGCTTTTGGAATAAAGCAATAAGGAACAAAATCAAGGTTCAAACATTGACGGACCTTAATATGTAATCATATGAAAACTTGCAGTTGCCAACCTTATGGAGGGGGTGTTTAAGTATTATATGTGTCATAAATTGATTAGTTGTAGAAACCTGAAGCCAAAGGAAATAATGCTTTACATTCTCTCAAAGACAGTGATCAATTCCGTGGCACTGGGTTTGTTGACATTACTTATATGATATGTGACATTACGCGAGTTTGGTCTTAAGGCCAACATATTCCAATGGTGCAGAATCCCAGTTGCCCCATCAAGTCCCACCATGCCATATCGAGTCCCACAATGTCCCAAGAGACCTTGTTTACTTTGCCCCATGGAGTCTCATCGAGTCCCTCCATATCCCACAAAGTCCCATGGATATGATGTAATTTAGAATTAGAAGGTAATGTCAAGGTCATTTTGATTTCAAGTTAGCTGACACATCCCATGATCCAAGTCCCGCGATGCCCAATGGAAAGAATGAATAGGTTCATTCTCAGTGAGACTTCGCCAAATGATACCCCATCGAATCTCATGTGACTCAATGGGGCTTCATGGGGTAAATCCCAAGGAATCCCAAGGAGTTCCATCGGGCAAAGCTCAATGAAGTCCAATGGATTTCCATGAGGTCCCACCCAATGTTAAATCAATGGAGGTCCCACCATGCCGTATTGGCATGGTGGGACCTCCCTTTTGTATCTGATAGTTATACAAATTAAAATATGCCCAGTAAAAGAAAATATTATCTGCCCAACACAAGAAAAGATATTTCACTTTTTGTGATTTTGCAACATGGGCTCTATGGGGAATCCCCCCGACCTAGAAGTCCCATTTTCCAAGAAAATTAAATTTTCAAAGTTGATTAACTCTTTTCAAAACCACATTTCTAGATGTAATTCTTCATGTAGATTCCAAATATGACATCAGTTTGACTGAAGTTAGAATTTTTGATGACGTAAATCAAGATTATTTCTACTCGCATCTAGTCTATTGTTTCCTGTACAAAGTACAATCAATTCCCTCGATACTATGTGAAGTATCGGGTGCTAGACTAGCAGTGAAACATTATCTCCAATTCCTTAGGGACAATAGGGGCGTAGCCAGCTTTGGTTCAGTGGGGGTTTGATCGCCAAATATTTTCGGTTTTCAGTCAGGGGGATGCAACTGTGGCATAAAAAAGCGAAAAATTAAGATCTATCTTGAATTTTACAAATCTTGATTCAACTTAGACTGCGATACAAATGTTATCAAATGAGACCATGCCATCATTACTGAACAGAAAGTTGACCATTTCAACTTCCTTCAAAATAAGGCTAGAAGCTTAAAATAAAAAGCATTAATTTTAAAACTCTTATTCTATCTCATGGTTATATTTTTATTGGTTGTGGGGGGATGGGGTTGCGATCCCATTGCATCCCCTGGCTAAGCCCATGGACAAGATGTATTATTTTGACATAAACAAAACATACACATCTTGTTATGTTCTACAGACTACAACTAAACAATTTATGACATATATACAATACGAAATGTGCAAACTGCAACCAGGCTCTGAGAAACTCTGGCTCTTAATCATTTGGTGTTACAATTTGTTATTATATAGCTAATTATTTGCAGCAACAATAGGAGTCTTGTTGCAGTTTACATGGACCCTATACTATAAAGCATGTACATCCGCTCCATAAGTTTGGCAACTGGAAGTTATTATATGATAGCATATCAAAGTCTGTCAATGTTTAAACCTTGATTATGTTCCTTATTACCATATTTCAGATATTTCGATTTCATATATATGCCAAAAATAAACAGGCTAAAATAAAAAGGGGTTTGAGTTGCCAAACCTATGATGGGAAGTGCTATCATTCATAAACATAAACTACAGGGTGTCAAATAAGTCCCGTCCCCCCTCTACAGCCAAAACCAAGATATTTGGTACCAAGTGTAATATACCATTGGAAAGGTCTTCCAAAGTTACGTTGATTGGCATATATCTAACACATGTCAATCAATCTCACAAATTTTTACATTGTATCAATTGAGGAGACCACAGGCCTAGAAACATGGTAATTTGGCGTATTTGGCAGGATTTCAAGAATCAGATATAAGAAAGGTCAAAGGACCTAAACTTGATTAAACATGTATATGGCAATGCATTTAACCAATTTCTGGATAGGGTATAACTACATGAACAACATTAGGAAAGAATGGCACCCGAAATACAGTTTTGAAAAATGTTATGAGTACACATACATGTATTTCCAATTGCTGACCACACATACCCTAAATGGTTTTATGGTTTATGGCAATGATAAGCTTTAAAAAATATAAAATGATAGATAATGAATATGTTTAGCATATTATGATCTCACATATAGTGTTAAGATTTATTTAGAATAACACTTTTTGCTATAATGATACATATTTTCTATTTGACCCTAGCAAAAAGTTCAACAACTGAAGTGTAAGGTGCCACGCCCCCTTTCTTGAATTTTTAGGGGAAGGTAAAGAGAAAAATCAGAAAAATAGATGCATGCACTTTTTATTGAAACTTATGCAAGAAATATTTGCTAACATCATCACTGACGTTTTTAATCAGGTTTTATACACCATAGGCCCTTACTGTTTTTTAAATGACTGCTTAACTATCGACTGATTAAGACATTTTGAGGAGAAAGTATGTACTTTTAGGGACAAATTATCCCATATCTCTACCAAATTTTGTTGGATAAGACCCAAACTTTCAGGAATTATTCACACATGCCTTATTGATATACTAACAATGTTTCATTACAATTGCATCATCCTCAAATGAGAAATTAAATAGTTTCAAGCATATGGTCAAACTCCGACTCGAAAATGATAAAAATTTGCTGACTCAGCACTTTTGAGCCTGCTTTGCAAGGGTTCACAACTTTTTTTACATGCCTTGGGGTCCCCTACAAGAATCTAAAGTCAAATTGAATCTTGGTGTTTTGGACACAAATCGCCTTGGCCGTAGTACTAAACATGGAAAGAGGCTATCAGACCTAGCAACCTTGACTTGACAGATGTACAGGCACGTAACCATCCGCTAAATATCTTATGTACAACTAATACAATACGTTACCGTCAATAGAATTCGATAGAAGTCATACGCAGTCGTCTAACGACATTGCGTTTGAAACCTTATTATTTACGATATTCACCACGTTCCTGCCTGTTCTGGATTTGTCATTTTATGCCTTGTTTATACACAGTTTACTTACAGTTAATATTTTGAGTGGCTCTAAGGCACATGTACTGAGAAAACACGTGAATGGACCAAAAATTATGAAATTGGATTTCTCAGTCGGTAGGTTTACAGTTTATATTCTGTTTCTTGTAGACCACTTGGCATATTTGACCCAGTCTTTATAACCATCAATATATACGTCAGCGAATGGAACTAGTTTAAAAGGAAATCTTATCTGTGAATATTGCCTACAGGCGAGAAAGAAGACATGATGCCTTTCCCATCCGCCATTTTTTTGTTATCGTTACCGCAAAATTTTGCAAATCGCCTTGACGTAACCGTCATGCTATAACACCGTGCTTATGTAACCTACACCTTTATTTAAAATGTTGTTCAATATGTTCTCGATCCATAGTAAAACCCAGGAGTTGGTACTTTGCCTCATTTCTGAGAAAATAATTTTTTAAGCATTAATTAATCCATTGTGTGAGAGGCAATTTAAAGTCTCTCTTTTTAACGGGAGCATAAAACAATTATTTTCGCAGAAATGAAGGAACGAACCATCGCAAGAGATTTTGTCACAAATCAAAGACATTTGACCTTTACAGTGAATTTCATAGTTAAAGCTTCACTAACTCCGAATGTAGTATACGGTAAACGCGCGGGTACAAAACCTGAGATACGGTGCAACGCAAATTCAAGTCGTTTGTGTTGTACCTTACCGTAACCGCGCATTATACCATATACTACATTGATAGTTTGTGAAGTTTGAACTCTAAAATTCACGGTCAAGTAATATTAGGGGTATACTTGGAATGATTAATGGAGTCTAATATAAATGCATCATCCCAGATGTATTGAAGAATTCATGATTATTAGACACCCTTTTCTGAAAAAACCCATATTAAATGAAGCCACAAACTTTGTCCTAAAGTGAAGGCATCGGGGAAAAACTGTACATATCAAATTGTATGAACTTATCTTGCCCATTTCTTAATCCTAATGTGTACAACGTATTTTTATAACTCTAATGGACAGGAGTAGGCTAGAGGGGGAGGGTTGGATGTTAAAATTACTTAGATCGAAACGCGAGTCGTGGACCACAATATGATATTGAAAACTTCGTATCTCAGTCAATAAAACTAGTCAGATTACCTTGTGATATGCCTTGTTTGAAAGGATATATACTATACTATATGGTCTATATCCAAAATAAAGTAAAAAGAACCAGCTTATATTTTTATTCTATGAAACCATATAGAGATTGTGTGATTTTCAAGAAATTTCTCAAGACCTACATACGTGGGTATGAGGGTTTCATACAGTCAAGACTGCCCGATCAACAAAAATCATTTCGAGAAATCAAAAGCAGACATGAAATCAAAATTTAAAAAATCATTAATTAACATTTTTGCAATTCCGGCTTTATTTTATGACTAGATAGATGACAGGTCCATAAATAAAGGCACATGGGTGCATTAATTCATCTATATTTCATCATAAACTAAGATTTAATAACTTCTTTTAAAATTGAACCCTTCAAAGACTGTATCATGTCCCACGTACTCGGGTAGGTGGGTACGAGGTAGGAGGTTTTTTATACAAAGCCTGCGAAATGCCAATATAGTTCCAATGATGTCGCTTACGAATTTATAAAATATAATGTGTTTCCTCTGCAATTCAAGAAAAAAACATCGCCATATGAATATTTTAATTTTCGAATTTTGTATTTTTTTGAAATATCAATTACGTAAATTGGCCCATATATCCATTTATTGACCTTTATTCTGTATACAATATTGTTCTGTAAAAAAAATAGTATAAAAAGGTTCATGTTACTCACACCAGTTTTTTCATGCGTCCCCATGTCAGTTATATGTGCACAAGCTACGTCGTCCGACGGAAATGTTTTAACTTCAATAGCATTCGCTTCAGCTTCCTTTTAACGCCTTCAATACCAGCTTCATTTTAACCTTTTGAACACTTTAAATTTTATGCTGCATAATAGTATTAGATCCCCTCATGTTTGTAGAGAGATTCGACTAAATTTCGTCATATTTTCAACTGGACGTATTATTCACGATCACTGCTCCAGCCATTAGCGAAATAGTTCCCGTAGTGATAGTGTTCATAAACAGTGTTGGATCAGTGCAATAGCCAGCAATAGGTGACCAGGGCCCGATTTCTTATGTATCCACAAATCTCCCCCATCATCGGTGTACGACGTATATCGCATAAAAGCATTTTTTGTATTTGTTCTTCATACAATTTACAACCCGCTAAAAGTTTGGCAAAAATTTGATTTTCTAAATTGAAGTAGTTTTTGGTGAATCTTTTACTGAAAAGATATTGAAATCTGGAAGCGAAATCATACATTTTAATATAACACTTGCTTAATTGTTCAATGAAATCCAAATCAAGGGTTAGCATACATTGAGCCAACCAAATTATAACATATCTTTAAGGAATATATTTTTAACGAGCTATCATTGACAACTCTTTCATTCAAAGTTCAGAGTTCATTCAGAGTTCATTCAAAGACACATGCTATTCCCACACGTTTAGATGATTTTTGAAAGATTCCAAATCAAAAGGATTTTATTTGCTATTTCATTATGTATATACGAGGGTTGATCCAAAAGTTCCGAACCGTTTACTCTAAAGATCTTAATATTTTATGAATAGTGTTCATATTTGGCCTTAACCACCCCATATATAGAAAATCCGTTTTGTGTAAAAATAAACAATTAATTTGACAAGTAACATAGGTATCTGGTTACCATAGCAACATGACAACAGGGTATGTGGAGCAAGAGAACGACACATTGTAGAATTGGAAAAAAGTTGACGCTTGAAGGGTGTAGACAGCGTACCAAATGTATCTCAAATTTGTTAGTCATGCCTATTATAATGAATTATTCTTTCATTAGACCAACGCTATATGTGTGATCTGATATCATACCAGCTATAGTTGGCAACTGTGATGTCATTGACCAGAAGAATGCCTTGCGCCAAAAGTAGTCAAAGTAAAGCATAAAATCCAGTTCGATTTCGACAATGCGCAATTCCATACCTCAATACGTACTCAAATGTCAATGAAAATATGTGCATGCCTTAGCTTACCCTTGCATCCATCTCACTATATCTGCCTTCCTCTGATGTTAATCTTTATAGTGACCTGAAGTACAAATTACAAGACAAGACATGCTTTTGAACATTAAATGATGTCTGTCTTGCTGTTCTTGAGTGGCTTTCTGAGACAGCTGATGGTGAATTTAAAGATGTGTTTGATCAAAGGGCCAGCAGATATACCAAGTGTATATAAGGGGATAAGAGACTATTTTGCGAAATTAAATCAAGAACTAACAATGCAATATGGACAAATTGAAAAAATAATTGGTTAATAGGCTACCCTGCGTGCAGAGTCTAGTTAAACGAAGCTCTCTTTTAAGAAGTGAAGTCAAACGAATGCAAAGGGTATTAATAGGCAAGCATGACTGACACATTTGAAATTTGGCACCCTGTAACACTCTTTTCGAATCAACTTTTTTCCACCTCTACAATATGTCGTACTCTTGCTCCACATACCCTGTTGTCATGTTACTATGGTAACCAGATACCTATGTTACTGGTCAAACTTATTGTTTATTTTTACACAAAATGAAACTACTATATATGGGGTAGTTGTGGCCAAATATGAACAATTTTCATAAAGTATTAAGATTTTTGGAGCAAACGGTTCGGAACTTTTGGATCAACCCTCGTATTTAAAGCACAGATGCCGAAAAGGAAGGGTGACCAAAAACTTTAAGGATGTATACTAAATGTAATAGAGGTAATAGAATAATAACTAGACCTTGGAAATTGAACAATTTCAGACTCCAGATTTAGACTTTTTTAAGCCGAGTCGTCCAGAAAAAGCCGAGTCATCCAGAAAAAGATTGATCGATAGATGAAATAGGAAGGAAGAATAGAATAGGAAGGAAGGAACGATAGGATAGAATAGGAAAGAATTAAAGAATGCTGTCAAATCCTTTTTAGACACACGATTTGAAATTTGTGGTAGGCTAATCATCTCGTCTACACTCCCTTCAAAAGTTTGGCAACCTTAGCTCCCTGCCTGAGGTTCGTCCAAACCTATCGAACCCCCCAGTCCCTACGGCTATGTGGATAAAGTCTAAACCTATAATTGCACTTTAAATTTCTTGGCAATATGTCCAGCAGCATGATTTTGAAGCAATTGTGCTAAAAACGACTCCCTTTAGTAAATGTAACTGTATTTGAAAGAAATTGAAACATATTATGCTATTAATAATCTCTTCAAGTTACCTCGCTGTCATTTTAAATGATATTTTTCGCCCAAGTTGGAATCATTTACAGAACACTGCAGAAAGATGATTCCTGTCCTATGAGATGAGGTCTAAATAAGTATATACAATGTATGTAATACTGGGAGGTTTAGTACCGAGATATATACACGTTCCTTCTTTTTAAAGTTAGTTTCCATGCGTTATGCAAAAAATAATCGACATAAATTAATATTGGATGGAGGGGGGGTGGATGGAGGGGGGAGTTATATGTCTTTACGATGGAACAAATTCACAAGGGCTCGTGTATTTGAAAAAAAACTAAACTCAATACCCTAGTAAGAAACTGGATATTATATCTCTGGACGTGGACAGAGACATAAAAAACAGTTATACCAGATTTTCTCGCATATAAGCCCTGGGCGTATAACTGAAAGAAGGGTTAATTTCGTCTGTTATTTTACCTCTTATTTTTCGCCCATGTGCGTATAAGTGAGAATCACCCATCTTCCTCAAAAGACTACCATACCTACTGTTGTAGTCCTACCGCATGTTTTGTAAGAAGTATAAAGGAAATGTCACCTACAATATTGGACTTAATGTTGAAACAAAGTAACAACAGAACGATACACCACTGCCACTTAAGGTACGTTCACACCAACGGCGAATGCCACGCTTAAAATCGGCGAGCAAAGCGCCGTCATTTTTGTCATTTTTCTTCATACCAACGGCGCTTTGATGGCGCTTTAAAGCGGCTTGTAAAGCGGCACCAAAGCGCAACAAAGCTTGATTAAAGCGTCGGGGTCGTAATAGGTCGTAGAAAAGCTCAGAGTAAAGCGGGATATTCGGCAAGAGCGCCAAAAAATGTTTAACTTTTTAAAAATTTTGGGCGCTCTGTTAAGCTACGTTCACACCAACGGCGAATGCCACGCTTTAAATCGGCGAGCAAAGCGCCGTCATTTTTGTCATTTTTCTTCATACCAACGGCGCTTTGATGGCGCTTTGATGGCGCTTTAAAGCGGCTTGTAAAGCGGCACCAAAGCGTAACAAAGCTTGATTAAAGCGTCGGGGTCGTAATAGGTCGTAAAAAAGCTCAGAGTAAAGCGGGATATTCGGCAAGAGCGCCAAAAAATTTGAAACTTTTTAAAAATTTTGGGCGCTCTGTTACGAATTGATTAAAGCACCGAGAGCGTATCAAAGCCCAACAAACCGTAACAAAGCTCAGAAAAGCTTGATCCAAAGCGTAGGAAAGCTTAACAGAGCTCTAATAGGTTCCTCACGCTTTGATCCCGCTTTGATCAGGCTTTGTTACGCTTGAAATCACGCTTTGATAAGCATTATTACGCTTGGATGCGATTATGACGCTTTAAATCAGGCTCTGATACGATTGCCAAGCTCTGTTGTGCATTGTTACGCTCTGTTAAGCTCTGTCACGCATTGGAAAATGTCGAGATCGCCGATTTCATGCCGCTTTTGATCCAATGACTATATAAAGATGCAGTAGATCCATAAAACCATTGCATCTTTGACTCGAGAACACGATGGCAGAACAACAAGATCCATAAATTCCAGATGGACCAGAGCATGACCTATCTGAATAAGACATGACGTTTGACGCACGGCGTGAAATAGCGTGAGAGAGCATGAGAAAGCTTGTCAAGCGTAACAAAGCATAACAAAACGTTTCAATTCTTGATGTAAGCGTCTCAATTTGTTGGAAAGCTTGAGAGTCCTTCATGAAAGCGTAACAAAGAGTGTCAGATATTGATGAAAGCGTCTGACCTCGTGTCAGATCTTCATGCCAGATCGTAACAAATCCTGAGACATCTTAACGAAGCGTGTAAAGTGGTAACAGACCATGAAGAGACTGGGGTCCACGCCCAAAATGTTTAAACAGTTTAAAATTTTTTGGCGCTCTTGCCGAATATCCCGCTTTACTCCGAACTTTTCTACGACCTATTACGACCCCGACGCTTTAATCAAGCTTTGTTACGCTTTGGTGCCGCTTTACAAGCTGCTTTAAAGCGCCATCAAAGCGCCGTTGGTGCGAACACTTAAACAGTTTAAAATTTTTAGCGCTCTTGCCGAATATCCCGCTTTACTCCCGAGCTTATCTACGACCTATTACGACCCCGACGCTTTAATCAAGCTTTGTTACGCTTTGTTGCCGCTTTACAAGCCGCTTTCAAGCGCCATCAAAGCGCTGTTGGTGTGAACGTACCTTAACGAATCGATTAAGCGCCGATAGCGTATCAAAGCTTAACAAACCGTAACAAAGCTCAGAAAAGCTTGATCCAAAGCGTAGGAAAGCTTAACATAGCTCTAAAAGGTTCCTCACGCTTTGATCTTGCTTTGATCAGGCTTTGTTACGCTTGAAATCACGCTTTGATAAGCATTATTACGCTTTGATGCGATTATGACGCTTTAAATCAGGCTCTGATACGATTGCAAAACTCTGTTGTGCATTGTTACGCTCTGTTAAGCTCTGTCACGCATTGGAAAATGTCGAGATCGCCGATTCCATGCCGCTTTTGATCCAATGACTATATAAAGATGCAGTAGATCCATAAAACCATTGCATCTTTGACTCGAGAACACGATGGCAGAACAACGAGATCCAGAAATTCCAGATGGACCAGAGCATGACCTATCTGAAGAAGACATGACGTTTGCCGCACGGCGTGATATAGCGTGTGGAAACTTGTCAAGCGTACAGCAAAGCGTTTCAATCCTTGATTAAAGCGTCTCAATTCGTTGGAAAGCTTGATAGTCCTTCATGAAAGTGTAACAAAGAGTGTCAGATATTGATGATAGCGTCTGACCTCGTGTCAGATCTTCATGCCAGATCGTAGCTAATCTTGAGACATCTTAACGAAGCGTGTCAAGTGGTAAGAGACCGTGAACAGACTGGGGTCCCCGCTTTGAACCAAGCTCTGTTAAGCTTTCCTACGCTTTGAGTCAAGCTTTGTTGAGCTTTG